TCAAAAACAATCCTGACTGGTTACGTCCAGGCAGTCTACGTAAAGATATTGAAAGAGGATCTATTCTGCCCCCATTGCCAAAGTGAAGACCAAACCGTGGACCACCTCCATTTCTCCTGCCCAGCCTTCGCGAATACTGAATATTCCAGACAATCATCCTTTTAGGAACCCCGAAAATAAGTCCAGCATCTCTGGAAAATTTTCCAAGAACTAAATCTTTTTGGTGGCGCTTCCTCACGAATTGAACCTTCACTTGACATTGTAAGTAAAATAAAAACGACTGAGGTCAGAAGGACAGCCCGGGTAGTTGGTGACTTCTGTGCGTGGCTCCAGGTACCTCTGGGTTAACTAACACTAAATAATATTTTGATCAAAATTAATATCCATGTCATACTCAAATTTGTTTTTCCTCATTTGATCGACGTGACAATATAAAATGAGCTGTTGTATATCGAACACAATTTACCAATCAAATTCTATATTTTGGTAAATTATTTTTGATGGTGATTTATTTTTGCACTTCATTAAATTAAGAATTTCTATGTATATCATTTATGTAACGTGTAACTGCCGAAGCCTTTGTGTGAACCTTGTTGTAGCCCTTAGTTGTTTTGAATATATTTTATATACAGTTAAACCTGTCTATAGCGCCCCCTCTTGGGACTCACCAAAACAGGGTGCTATAGACAGGTCCCTTTTAATGTAAAATGTTTACATTTTAATGTTTAAAATCGGGCGCTATAGAGAGGAAGGCGCTATTTAGAGGGGTCGCTATAGACAGGTTTAACTGTATTTTTTAAAAATATTAAATACAGTAGAACAAACTGCATGAGAGGACATTCCCGCTAGAGGACACCTTTCTACACAGTTTTCAGTTGCACAATTATCATTTTTACTATTGCGCAACTCTCTGGTAAGAGGGCATTTCTCCCTATAGGACACTTTGGATTTGCAATTAGGTGTCCTTTACAGGGAAGTGTTCTATTGTATATATATATTTTGAAATTAACTTTCAAAACTAAAATTCATTTTTTCTATAAATATTTATTATTAAAAACATTCATCATAAAACATATATAGGTACCAAAAGAGATATATCTCCTTTTAACCATACATCAGAAGGATGTACTTGTTCATCTCCCTAATAGTAAAAACATTACTAGTGATGATAAAGATTGAGCCATTTTTGGCAAATTCATACCAAAAGCTATCCTGTATACTGATATATAGCTAGCAATAAATATGTATTTTCTATGAAAATGTTAATCTTAAGACGCAGGTTATCATCATCCCTTTTTGATTTTTTTTGTCACTTTGGCCGTTTGCAAATAAACAACAAAAGATGTATCAGACATTATAAAGACAATAAAGATTTTCTGATAATAAGAATGTACAAAGATATTGCATATACCTGTATAGGTTGGATTTTTGTCTGCCCTTTACATAACTGGTGTTGAGGCTCATTCTTTATCATCATTAGTGAAGTTTTTTTTACCAGGGGTGATCAACAAGTACATCGTTCTTATGCTTAAAGGGAGAGATGTCTTCTTTGGTTCATGAATATCATTCTCCCGCAACTTTATATACATATTGGGTAGTTGTCATCCAGGGGTATACCTGGGCTCTTTAAATCTCTATATATTATTAGAATATTTCAATATGCTCCAGGAATCCAGGTTACATCAAAAGAGAGAGAGAGAGAGATTGAAATTGAAACTGATTTATTACAACGTCCATATAAGATTATATAATACAGAATGAATATAAATATGAATAAATGTGATTAAATAATGATAAATGTATGAGAGAGAGAGAGGATTTCAATATATACTCAAAAATACTCTTTTCTAAACACTCTTTCAAGTTGAACTACCTGGCAACACAGCGACTTACCTTCTTGAGATAGGCACAAAAAGAAAGAATGTGAAATCTGCCGAGTTTAAATATCTTCGTCAGGTTATCGCGGCATTGTCTGCACTGACATTGTCTTCCTATCTTTCTGATACTGGCGATTTTTTCGTCAGCCCATAGCTAGCCAACACATTCCCAACAATGACTTGTTTGAAAGTGCGCAAGAATCTAGTACAAAAAGCTTTATTTTGGGTAAAATTACAAAAAAACGCATTTTCCAATCTCTTACTTACAAATAAATATTAAAATTAAATGTGAAAAATCGATATGATTATTCGATTTTTTCTGAGACTGAGAAAAAAATTATAGAATATCTTAATTCTGAGGAGGTATCCATTTGAAATTTTATAAATCACGTTTCCCACTCTATAATTAAGACCTGTCACTGGCCCACCGGTGCTGGTCCTGCGTCAGGCCTCTCATTCGGGAGGAATTTACCATCACCCCCCCTGACCTGCGGGGGCTGGGGCGAGGCCTGGATGACGAAGCCATCCTGGTGTCTGCCAAGGTTTCTATCTACAAGTATTTCCTCAATGCTGAACTGAGGAAGGTTCGTTAAGATCCCCTCCTTGTCTGGATGAGGACTCTCTCAAGGTGGGGGGACCCTCTTTACTCAAGACAATTGTAAATATTACTGTATATATTCACTCAGTGACAAAACTTAAGGAAGTTGTACCTTTTAGCATTATATCGAGATTTAGACAATAACTCTGAAAGATATTACAATTATCTTTATTGAAGACACACGAGATAACCAAGTGTGAACAACTTCTATCTTCTTCAAAAAATAGATAACTGGCGACATCAAAGACTTTCAACTTTCTTAAGTTTTGTCCATGAGTGTATATTTCCGTATCAATTATTTAAATTTTATTTTATTTGAACATTTTGTTTGAGAGTCAAAACGTACTTTAGTACTTTGTCTGATGATCATTAACAATGCTGTTATACTGAAACGTCACAAACATTTCAATAATTTGGCCTTGATTTGGGTTTAAAACGGTACTGCAAAAGGATAGAAGAAACAAAAAACTAAAGAAAGTTTGATCAATTTAGGATGTATATTAAAGAATTAAAATAACTCGCTGAACCATTAAAACTAGTGTTTTTCTTGACGGTAATGAGATAACAAATTCGTAAGGCTGATTTATAGAACTTTGGCGTTATACTCCAGTTATTTATTTTGTTTGCCAGGAAGAGGACAAATGTCACCAACTACTAGGGTAGACCTTGGAGCTGCAGTCGTATCAGGCCCCTCATCATCGAAGCCTTCAGTGTCCTTGGGCGACCCCCTGACTTGCGGGCCTGGATTTTCGGGTGTGGCCTCGAAGATGACGACTTGGCCATCCTAGCGTCGGCCAAATCCATCATCTACCGATACTTCGTACAGGTTGGGCTGACCGGAGGACCCGCTCATCGCCTGGGAAAGAAGGCTCACTCGCCGGGGCACATCCCCCGCATGATCATCTATATTTTAGTTTTATTTCCATTTTTAATGTAAATTATTGACAAGAAGTTAATAAATTTGTTTCAATCGTCTAGAGTAGACCTTCATACCTTTTGTCCAATTCACAAGATGAAAGTCAAATTTATATGGTATTTCCAAGAAGTTTTGTTTGCGGGAAATCTCTATGAACATATATTTAAACTATTATATGGAAGAGATAGAAGACGTTGTTGTCTCTCCTTCTAACAGGGAGGACGTCGTCGAGTACCTTTCGCATGGGCAGAGGTCTGATCTGAAGGAATTCCTCGACATGGCGGGGAGATCTGTCCGACTTCAGGGAGGAATGTGACATCGAACCAGACGACCGTCAGTTGGATTCGTCTGATATAGATAATTTTCCATTCCCCGCATCCCCCCCCCCTTTATTTAACCTTATATAATCTTATATGAACGATTAATAAAAATCAGTTTCAATCTCTGGTAGCTCAAGTCCTGGATCTTATGGTCAAAACATAGCATCAATTATTGCCTTAAATACAATTGACTTTGAAACGTAAGAAAGGGAGAATATTTTCTGAATGTGCAACCAAGTAAAAAATGGGACATAAAGAGATCCACATTTATTAAACTTCAAAGTTAATGAACTTAATGTTTGTATGCAAGGTATTTAGTCTAAATTTGTATATTTTGATATTACAGTCAAATATTTCTGTCCTTGACATCCCCAACTTCTCCTATTTTTTTCTTTTTTGAAATAATTCTTTTAGCAGAGATATAAACACAAGGTAATAAGACCAAATCCAAATAAATAAATAGTGTGTGACGTTTCGGTAACAGCGTTGTTACCATCTTCAGACAAAAGTATTGAATGAAAAATTTTACTGTGAAAGTACAAAAGTAAAACATTCTATATCTGCTATCTTGTTTACACACTTAATAACAGTAACTATTTAAAACATGCTGTGATATAATTTCTCATTCAGTACTTTTGTCTGAAGATGGTAACAACGCTGTTACCGAAACGTCACACACTATTTATTTATTTGGATTTGGTCTTATTATCTTGTGTTTATAATCTACTAGCCGAATGACCCGGGCAACGCCCGGGTTTTACCCGATTAAATGTTTTTATTTAAATACTATTCGTTACAATTATAAATTGGCGGCGTGGATGTCACTCTTGTGAAACGTCCCGCTCCAAACTTTGTGTCTGAGAAGCGATATTTTTATAGAAAGATGATCTGGCTTTTGTTTTCTGCTCGAATGAATGTTTTTCTGTTAGAATTTTGTTCCTGCGTATAAAATAATGAGCTGGTTTCACCCGTGGTCTCTGCTTTTTGGAATTTTTATCGATATAATTTTGTATCTGATAATCTTACATGATACAGCAATATCGTCATCATCATTTTCTGACTAATAATATATAGTTTTAATAATTGATTTATATATTTTTTAAAATAGCCTATCGTCTTCCCCGTATTTTTTACCTCTGTATGGAAATTTTGGTTTGAATTAGTGAACTACTGTGAATTTGTATACCGGACATACAAACCAACAAACAAACAAACAAACATACAAACATTCATTTATATATATATATAAGATATAATATAAATGAGTTTTAAAAATTGTTAAAAAAAAATGCATCGGCCGGGAATCGAACCCTGGCCGCCCGCGTGGCAGGGAGCATTCTACCACTGAACCACCGATGCTTTAAAAAAATGGCCATATTTAGGTATTCATTCCATTCCGGATTAGTCCGCGTAAAAAAAAGTTCTTCAAATGAAAAAAAAGAAATAGCTAAAAATACTAATCAAAATGCAGCCGAAAATTTTCCTCATGTTTATAAAAAGCGACATGCAAAATTTGGTACCAATTGGTTCAGTAGTTTTTGAGTTTATCGCGAAACAGACAGACAGACAGAAATTGACTTTTATATATAGAAGAGATAATCCAAATTGTGCCTTATCATTACCAGAGATATGCAAGAATTCTGCCTATAATTTTGTATACAGGGAGAGGTATCCTCTTACCGGAGAGTTACTAAATAGTAAAAATGGTAATTTTTCAAATGAAAATTGTTCTTTGTGGAGAGGTGTCCTCTAGCGCGAATGTCCTCTCATGGAATATGTTTTACTGTATTTTCAGTGTATGTATAATATATTTGCTTTGGAGAAATGAAAAGATAAAGTGCTATGTACATATATATAGCAGGTCTATCGGCTCCAAGCCCAGGGAGAATAACCTCTACACGATCACTTTACGTAGACGAAACATTGACAGATATAGAATCAAAAGGTAACAAAAGACCAAATTATTGAAATGCTTGTAACGTTCTGGTAGCTTCATGTTTACTAAATGCATTTAATACTTTTCACAACAATATTAACATATTGCATTAGCTCGTCATCTGTAATAAGAAATGTAATCTACTTTTGAAGCATAAGATTCTTTTAAAATACAACACGTTTCTACTGTCCTTACTGTAATGATAAATTAAGGATAGAGCCTTGCTCATCAGTGGTGAACCCTCTCAGTTTTGCCAGTTTAATCTACCATACCGCTGTATTATATTGTATAAAAGCAAACCAGCCCAATGCAATATAACAGCGGTATGGTAGATTAAACTGGTGAAACCGCTGGGAGGGTTCACCACTGATGAGCCAGGCCCTCCTATTAATGCATCATTGCAGTGAAGGGCAGTAGAAAATTATTTTATTTTAAAAAGAATCTTACGCATCAAAAATATTTTAAATATTTTATTTAGTATTTTGCCTGATGATGGTAACAATGCTGTTATCGAAACGTCGCAAACACTTCATTAATTTGGAGATTGGTCTTATTACCTTTTGATTCTAATCTATAATCCAAATTGTACCTTATCAATGCCAGATACAAACTTAAGTAAAAGTCACTTGGGAGACCAAGGCTGGATAACACAAGTCTTTTTACATATACCAGGGCCTTCATTTCAGTATACATGATTAGGTACAATTTGGATTATAGATTAGAAACACAAGGTAATAAGACAAAATCTGAATAAATAATGTGTTTGAATAGACGTTTAGGCAACAGCACTGTTACCGAAATGTCACACCCTATTTATTCATTTATATTTGGTCTTATTACCTTGTTTTTCAGTGTACAATAAGTTCTAGCTTGGATTCACAGTATGCCTAGTAGATGCCCTCATTATAATATCCCCATGTTTCATCACTCAAGGCACAGATTGATGAAAGCTGGAGACAAACTGAAGCGGCAAGTCCTGGTTGACAAGTTTGATAGGCTGTGAAATCTTATCTTCTGCCGTGACAAGGGCGCTATTGTCGCTAAGAGACCGAATTCCTTGCTGAAGCTGAGAGAAAAGGAAATGTAAAAGCATAAAAAAATATTCACAAAAAATATGGGAAAATAGCACAAGAGTGAAATTGTCCTGGGCTCAGGTGGATCCCATTGCACGATCAGAGATGCCTTTTATTTAAATGACAAAAATGTTCGGGTGCGGTTAATAAATACATCTAGAAGTCGGTGGACGAGTGGGCAACACCCTCGATTCCCGACAACTATTAACCGGGATCGAATCCCGCGTTGGACCCTTTGTTTTAATATGTAAATAACCTTCATATATTATCCACTTTCGTAAATATCATAAACTAGGTTGTTCTTTTTGAGCGGCAGCTAGTAAAGTTATTTTGGAACCAGGGATTTAATATACCATTCCTTAAATGCACACAGGCACAGAGTGAAATTTGACGAACAGTGTTCTTGTTTGCATAGGAAGGGGCTTATAATAGTGTGTTGCTTTATGAAAATTTTAATTATAGAATTGCAATTGCCATCCATCGATAAAATTTGTAATAATATTTTTTGTCAATATGTTGATTATGTGATATTTTTTATTAAATACTAGCGGATGTACCCGGCTTCGCTCGGGTTTTACCCGAGTAAAGGTTTGTCTAACGAATTTCTCGATAAAGTGAACATTTTTCCCCGGTCCCTTGAAAAATACTCGATAAGTTGAATAAAATCAATATTAATTGGTTCCCTCGGTAATTGGAAGTTAAAGGAATAGTATCTTGCCTTGGAATTATATCATTATTCTTGTCTCAAATAAATTGCCGTGTCATCCTGAATTTTGTCTTTCCTAATTTTCTACATTACAAAATCATCGTATCATCATGATATTATTTAGAGCAGATTGTTGAATTATAACAGATAAATTAGAATATTTATCTTGATTATTTTAAAGCGAAAAGTTTTTCAAAATTTTATTCGCTAGAAACCTTCCCAGTACTATACTAAATAACTTCCCAAAGTTTCATGGCGTTCCAATGAGTGGTTTGGTCAGGCATAAAGGACAGACAGACACACATACATACATTCGTTTTTATATATATATAGACTAGCGGACGTACCCGGCTTCGCCCGAGGTTTTACCCGAGTAAAGGTTTGTCTAACCAACATTTGTTAAAACAATTCTCTATAAACTTATAAAAAAAAAAAGATATATTTTGATAATTTGAAACTCGTAAATTTGAATCTCTCGATAAAGTGAACATTTTTCCCCGGTCCCTGTGTGCCGTGTCATCCTGAATTTTGTCTTTCATAATTTTCTACATTACAAAATCATCGTTTTATCTAGTGAACATATTTTCCCGGTCCCTTGAAAAATACTCGATAAGTTGAATAAAATCATGGTCGTTTATGGAAGATGGACGTAGTTCCCGGAGGTCACCCGCCCCCCGCTTGCGAGTTAAAGCTACAAATCTGCAAATAACTCTAAGGATATTTAAGATATTCAAGAAATTATTTTTCGTAAACCTTTCCGGGGATATGCCTAATAATATCCCAAATTTTCACGGCGATTGGATGTATGGTTTTTGAATCCATAGAGGACACACACACAGACACACAGACATTCAATTTTATATATATAGATTATCTCTAAAAAGATCTTCCTACAATAAAAAAAAAAAAAATCAGACAATTAACAATTCACAATATTTTATTGAGATTTAGCCAATGGTTACAAAATAAATTAGAGAAATATATACAAAAAGGAATATTATTTACAATTAGGGATAAAATATTTAGTTGTTCTCTTGGGGAGGGAGGTTCCTCCACCTTGGGAGTCCTCTTCTACCCGTGCCGCTCTCACTTCAACAGTGAGATTGAATTTATGTTGGCAACTCTTGGCCAGGATAGCCAGGGCGTCGACAGCCAGGCCTCGCCCGAAGACCCATCTCTGCAGGTCAGGAGGGATGACGGTGAAGGCCTCTAGGATGACTGATGTAGCGGCAGGACCAGTACCGGTGGGCCAGCGACAGGTCGTTGGACCCACAGGCGACGCAGGACTGTTGGGCCGAGGCTGGTGGGGCAAGGCGTGCGAAACCAGCTCACTGCCACGTCCACGTTGTGCCCGGAGAAAGCACAGCGACGACCAGCCGATGTTGATGGGCAGGTTTAGATGATTCTCCCACCTTCTAGGAAACTGGGCGATTGGCAAAGCAACCAGACGCGAATTTAATTGTTAAAATTTAATAAAATTTATTCGATGAGAGGGCTTGGCTCATCTGTAGTAAACCTCTCGGTGGTTTCACCAAATTTAAGAAAAAAATCCAATACAATAGTAGGCGGCTAATTTGGCGAAACCGCCGAGAAGTTACATAACAAATATCTATGTCAGAATCCATTTTTGATAAACTTCATATCTTCTTTCAAGGGCTTACTGAATACCAAATTGCTGACAATGGTTCAATAACTACACTACTTACAGCCTGGCTGGCTGTTCGAGGCCATCACAAACAAGCATCCAGGACTTCTATCCTCCTATTGATGGGAATTTTTCCCTGAGGATATTAACATTTTCTACCCGAAGGACGCGCGTCCTTGCTGATTTTGCCTCAAGCCCGAAGAACGCGAATTCGCGTCCTCGATTTTCAAAATTAAATATACTCGTAAAATCGCTGGCGGTCGACACGAATTCGAGTCCACCAGGAGCTTGTCCCATACCTTCTTGTCTATCTATCAGTGGGTTGTCAGCTGACCCAATGTACCTGTAAAATGTCACATGAGACCGCAGCAGCTCCTATTGCCTCCTATGCAACTGTGGAATCGTCTGTCCTCAAAGTGTTAATCTATAAAGATAAAGGTAACCTCTGCCGTTAAAACTAGACCCATCTATTGACCGTCGCCGCAAACTAGTGGCCTCAGGTCGGTGACAAAGCCACAACACCAGTTTTGGCAAACTGAGATGCGTCCACCAAGGGATCATGGTTTCAGGCTAATGGCCTTCGTCGGTCTAGGGTGGACTTTATTCCATGAGATCCACATGGGATCTCATTAAATCTTCACAATCTGCCAAAGAGAGCTGGCAAAGTAGCTGGGCTATGGCAGAAATATAGATGAGAATTTCGCAGTGGAGGATATTGTTATATAAAGATAAAGGTCACCTCTACCGTCAAAATAGACGTCAATAGATAGTGTATAGCTTTGACGTCTATTTTGACAGGGGAAGGGACATAGATTCTGTCTTCCAGAGTGGTGCTGTTATAGGATAATGATATGTAGATTCCCTCACACACAGCCATAGTTACAAAGGAATGGATCCCATCCATCCTAGAGTCCTGTCCCTGTGATTACATCGTATTCAATGTGAGGCTGCCTGGCCACAGAGGTTTACAGAGATTAGCTGCATTCAAGGTAAAGACAG